TTAATCTGGGACTAATTTGGCTCACAGCGCCGTTGCGGATCGTCCATACGAACTGTAACCGCTCTGTTGGGTCGCACATAATTGCCACGCTCCACTGAAATATATATGGCCATTATTTATGAACGCCCAAACATACATATAAACATACCTTTCTATTTAATCAGAGGATAAGATATTTGAGTTGATAAAAACAAAGTTATTGTTTTTATACAAACATAACGAGAATAGTTACGACAATTCAAAAAAAATATACCAGTTTCAAATATACATACATCTTAATATATATAAGAAATATTAGATTATCAAACAGGTTGAAATTCCTCGCTCAGTGCAAATAATCAAAGAAAAATGTATTTCTGATAACTAATTAATATCATCTCTATTGATCTTTGGAAAAAACTATCAAAATTATGATAATTATGCCCTAAATGGAAAATGAAGTGAATGAGAATAAAAATAAATATCATTATGTAAACTACTAATTTTACCCTCATTATAACATCGGTCTCTTTACGTTACGCTTATTAATACTAAACATTCGTAATAATTACTGTTAAATCCTGAAATCAGTTTTTAATAGTAACCACTGCAAACAAGATTTTTCATGAAGATTTTTCTATACTTTCGACATAAACCTATTTTGCGGTATAAGAACATTTAAACCTTGTTAATTTGGCTCGTGTTAGTAATAAGAATTACGTACGCAACTATTAAATTTGATATTTCTGTTAACACTGCACTGTGTGACTAAAGAAAGAAGTTTCGACTTTCATAACATGATTTTACTTGAATTTTTGTTTAAGTATAATACCAAACGTACATAGAAACAAGAAAATATAAATATTTACATAAATTTAATACACTATTTCCTTTACCTACTCAAATATTGTGATATTTATCAAATTGTTCAACAAGTACTAATTTCTCCTCTCTTAGCTCTTCAGCATTTCACCAATAATCGTCTCTGGTTCTAACAGTTCTCCAAGATATGCTTCCGCCTTCTTTATATTTCTGCATCATCTAAAGAATTCATCTTCTTTCCAGTACAAGCAATTTTCATAGTCGGTAACCGCTTGGCTCAGGTGTAAATTTGTTTCATCGTGATTTTTGGAAATCCAAAAATTTCTGAGCTATCCCATCTTTCCTGTCACTTTTCCAGCAGTCTCCTTTGCTCGCTCTTCTCTGCCTCTGACATTTCTAGTTAGGAGCTCAATTGGTGGTATGCCTATTAGCTATTAGCGATCCGCAGATCGGACTGCAGATCCTTATTGTTCGTTTCCAGTACTTTTCTGAAGCATTGCATCTTCTTTACTTCTTTCCATACAGGAGCAATGTACAACATTGACTAACAAGTACCATGTACACAACTATTTAACTTGATATCAATATTCATAACTAATACTGCACGTATGACCAAACACAATAACAAAGATGACTATAACCAAGTGGTTAACCTAGTTCTAGTTCTTGTATTAAGACTGTTTGGAATCCAGGGTCATCCTAACCACAGGGTAAACTGACTATAACCCCGGGGCGCTAACTTTTTGGGGCGGCAATTTTGCTTTCCCTCCCATATAATTTTTAGTGAAGGGGGACGCATTGTACTTAGTAGCAAAATATCTTAGAACGGACCTACTGTTAGTCCTACCCACTTAAACAAATTTTGGGTTAGTTGTATTTGACCATATAAACCATGCCTTAATCCGCCCATGTTTTCAATCTAGTGTACATAATTGCGTTAGTTTATAAAAAATTGTATTGTTTACTAAATGTGTGCAAGTTTATCTTGTAAATTATCTGGTAATTAAATACAGCTTTAAAATCGTAAAAATAACCGATAATCAGATTCTTGGCTAATATTAGAAATATATAATCCAATCACTTGATTAATCTTATTGAATGGGCAACAAACAAGCTAAAAATTAATATCTGATTACCGATACCAATTATATCTTAATCCTACCATACACAAATATAAACACATTTATTAAGAAATTTGCAATCAAAAAGCGAATATATTTATGCATAATCCGTGCATAAACATCGCATTTTGGTATATACAAATGGAAGAATTGTCGAATCATCAAATTCATTGAGATGATTTAAAACGATCGCGTGTATCGCGAAATCCCTGGAAAATAATTAATAACGTATTGTTTCTCTCGTTCTATCAGTTGCGGATTAAATGGATTAATAATGATCGATTAATACCCTATTTATCAGAAATCAAACAACGACACGACACCAACGAAGATGATAAATAATCCGATTTAGGTAAGTGATAAGATTGAATAACGTGAGAAAATAGAATTCATATTTTATAGCTTATGTTTCAAACATATGACAATTATTTATATGTTTAGAAAATAGATATTTGTTCCAATTCCAAAATTAGTAATAGGATATTTTGTATAGTAACTTTATTAGTTATATAAACCATTTAATTTTTAGTAATTTTTTTTTTTAATGTGGCAAAAATAACTACGCACGTAGATACAAGATTGAGATTACAGGCACATCCAAATAAATAATCAATCACGACTTGCTGCTAATCCGCAAGTGTTGAAATCTGTTATATTAATTCTCGAGAATAATCCAATCGCAACAAATCAATTACTGGTATCACGTATCATACATTCAATGACAAGACGTGATTTGTGTTGCTATTTATAAAGATGATCCGATTTAAGATTTTCCATAAGCAAACAGATTATCTTTAGTAACCATGCAAGTATCTATCGAAATTTTTTAATATTATATACTTTATCTACAGACTAATTTTTTTATTTTCAAATTGTACGTAACTCATTAATGATTAAATTATATTTTTTTTTACTTATTGCCAATAACACAGATGACACAACAATTCTTACATCCTATGCAGACTCGGTGCAAGCTTTAGGAAAGCCTCAACTATATTCAATACTGGAAGAAAAGGTGGAGGATAAAAGATGGAGAATGTCAATAGCTGAAGGAGATGTTTCTGGGGATTCACCTAAATCAGTGATGTCAAACCTATGACACTCGTGTCAGTGGTGATAAGTCGAGACATTTCAGGTGACAAGCCAAAATGTTTTATAATGTTCATTACATATGAAAAATATTGGAAGACAAGCATCATCTATGTATCCAACTTTGACACACTTATCCCATAAAGTTCTCCATCACTGACCTATACCGTTGCTTGACCTGAAGGAACCACGTAAAGACCACGAAGCAATTTGCATTGCAATTTAGAAAAAAATACTGGCAAAAGTGAAGAAACTCTGAGATATAAAGCCATATTAATAAATATAATAAAAAAAAGATACCTATCGAAGAAATAGATGATGATCCACAAATGAGGAAATTTATATGTTTAACGACACCCAGCAATTAAAAGAAGAGGTCGGAATAGTCACCAAATGATCACTAGCAACTAAAAGTCCACCCAAACAACCTATTAGCAGAGTTGGCCAATACAACTAGCCATCGACGAAGACGATTCTAATAACTATATAAACTGTTCGTGTTGTGTACTTCAGGATGCTAATATCGCAATATACTCGAAGTGAAAGATAGTTGCTGAGTCAATCCTTTAGTTGTTTAATCTTGTTGTTGTCTACATCTTATTGTTCTTATAGATAGATCACTGAATTTAAGAACAAAATAAAATTATTGTGAATGGAAATGTTTAATATTGTATTTCACTGTTGCAATTTCTTCTAATAATGTGCTTATAAATTTAAAATAATAGATAAGTTTATTATATAACATTTATCAGAAATAAGCAATAACTATAGATTTAAATAATTTAATATTAACTTTTGCATTTATAATACAAATAAAAAAAAAAGAGTTAAGCAAAGTTTTGGAAAACACTGATTTTATTTACTATTTCTGCCATCTATTGACATATTTCACAAGAAAAGTAAATGTTGCAATAAATTTTAAAATAAGTGATTGTTAAAGCAGGTTAATTTAATAATTGTTATAACTTCTAATGTGTCTTAAAAACCAATAAACTTACAAAAGGTTTGTTACATGACTAAAATATATTACACTTGCTCCATCTATCGCGTATATAGCTAAGTTCAAAGTTCAACTATTTTGGCGCTGTAACTAGTGCTAATATATAATTAGTTTTATTTTAATTGTAAATGTTTAATCGATGAATTAATTTTAAGTTTAATTCTTGCATTATATTTTTATTATTAGAATTTATATTTGTTTGAATCAAGTGATATTGATTGATCTTTCCAATGAAATGAAGAAGATATTAAATATTATCATTGTTTCAAGAGAAAAGCAGCAGCAAGAGGAAGAAAAATAATTGTCTACATTGAGTATTAAGTATTTCTTATTGTAATATAATTTAAGTAATTTATTGATATTTTATAATATTCAAAGCAAATTTAAAATTATTTTACACTTGATATTTTCAAATTATTTAATAGTAATATAAATTTATGGACAAAGTAAACTAAAACTAAGCTAAAACGCAATTTTGAGTTATAAAAATTATGTTTATAGCTTTATTTTTACAGATTTTGAATTTAAAATTAGTTAGTAAATTGTCAAAATCAAATACGAATTAGAGAACTATAAATTGGCTACTATGTACATGTAGATGGCGCAAATAGTTAAATAGTAAATAAATATAAATCAAGATGACACTATATATTTAAATCCAAAAATCAATAATTTAATAATTTGGTAAATGCATTGTTTATTAAGTATATTCGCATCTAGTTTAAACAAATAGGTGTTTTATAGCAATCTTTGTGCTTGAAAACCATTAACATAGTTGAAAACTCCTTCTACCAGAGTTTGCAATTATTTTAAGTGTATACGGCTGGAATAAGTGAGTATCAATACATATAAACATATATATGTATGCATGTAGATGTTTATTTCGCCATCTTGTTGAAAAGTTATATGCATTTATAGTGAATAGTTCTCGAGTTTGAAATTTTCTTTTATTTGTTTTTTTTCTCTTGTTGGCATCACTGAAGGAGATTGTCTCAAGATACATGTTATTGTTTTGAAGTATTCCAAACATTCCAAGGATTCCAAACAAATCCAAAGGAGTTCTGCAAAATATACACAATTAATTTGTTCCTAAAGATGGACAGCCAAGATTTTAGCAATGTTAAAGTCAGTACTGTAGAATGCAAGAGAAATGTAAGACAAATCCAATTAGATTTCATTGCTCAACATCATACAACACTTGAATATTCCATTGCTAAATATGAAATGTTTCAATGAATGTATGTTATTCCACAGATTACAGAGTTGGAAGATCTAAAGGAGTTGGATGGGATAAATGTTTGGGGACAGCACCAAGAGATATTAGAGCGGCAGGCTTTGGAAGAGTTGAAGTTGTTGTCTGAAAGCAAGGAGGAGGGTGAATTGTCTGACCAGAAGGAAGAGTCTGGTGAAAAAAGAAAGCTGTCTGATGCACCCATTTTGGATGTCAAATCTTATATCAAACGTCAGGAGGAGCTGCAGCGGCAGAGGTCTATCAGGCAAAGCTCTGCCATTAGCCAAAGAAGTAAGTCCTTAGCAGACAAAATTTCTAAGAGCCAAGCTAAAGGCAAAGCACAGAAAAGGAAGGGTAGTGCAGAATGCAATAGCAGTAGCTACAAGAGACCCAGGAGAAGGTCCCAAGTTTGTACAATTGTCAGGCCGGAGGAAGTGGCACAGCCAGATGAAACTGATGATGTTAATAAAGACATTAATAAAACGAAGCAAAGAGATGATGATTCTGACAGTGAATATGTACCATCAGAAGGTATTTTCAATAATATTTTAATATTGCTGATATTAATTTCTTACCTTTCAGATGACAGTGATTATGATCCGGAAACAGAAAAACCCAAAAAGAAGGCTTCAGCAAGAAGGGGAGAGAAAATATTTGATAATAAATTATTAGATGATGGCTGCTTATTATATTACCAGAATAGATTGGAAAAACATTATAAAAAAATTAAATTGGAAGAGGTGGATGATGAAGATGATATAATTATAAGGCCTGGTTTTAAGATAACAGCAAAAATATGGAATTGCCTTTACTCGTATGTACATAACTTTATATATTGTGATAATTTTTTGTTAAATGATTTGTTACTGCAGTTATCAACAAGAGGGATTGGAATGGCTTTGGGAGTTACATCAAAAATCTGCAGGTGGATTGCTTGGTGATGAGATGGGACTAGGAAAGACGGTACAAGTTATTGCATTTTTGTTTGCATTAAATTATAGTTTTATAACCAATCCAAAGAGGTAACATTTTGAAATTTTAATTTATAATTATCTAAAGTATTATATTCTATTTCTGTAGTAACCATCCTTTGGGTCCAACCATCATTGTGTGTCCCACAACAGTGCTTCATCAGTGGGTAAAGCATTTTCATGATTGGAGTCCAGAATTTAGAGTAGCAGTTCTGCATAAGTTGGGAAGTTTCAATGGTAAAACTACACCTATTTTGATTTAAATATAGTTTTACTAATTAACATGCTCTTGTTTTAGGTAGTGAAGCTCAGTTCATAAAGGATATGAATAAACACAAAGCTATAATAATAACTACATATCAAGGTATTTTAAAAAACAAAAGCTTACTGATGGAGCATGAATGGCAATATATAATTCTAGATGAAGGCCATAAAATTCGTAATTCAAGTGCAAAGGTATATACACAAATTGTTTGTGTCTTAAATATTTGAATATTAATGTTATTTAGGTAAGCAAAGCTGTGAAGGAATTCCGCACTCCACACAAAATTATGTTGACTGGATCGCCCATGCAAAACAATATGCAAGAGTTGTGGTGTCTCTTTGACTTCCTTAATCCAGGGATGCTTGGAACGCTTCCTCTCTTCATGGACCATTTCGCCAATCCAATTTTGCAAGGAGGTTACGCAAACGCCACCAAAATGCAGGCAAATATTTGGTGTTAGGGAAACATTTGCCGAACGAAGAATAAACAAGAACTGTTTCTTTCCAGGAAGCATTGGCCATTTCTATGGCTAATACTTTGAAGAATCTTATATCGCCATACTTTTTGCGTCGAGCAAAGGCAGATGTTCGGGATGACATCAAATTGCCTAACAAAACCGAACAGGTTCTCTTCTGTTCGATGACTTCAGAACAGATTGATCTATACAAGGGTTATTTGATGGTAAATGATCATTTAGCATATTTTTCAATGTTTTACCTATTTCATAATACATCATTTAAGAGTGAACACGTCAGCAATATATTGGGAAAAGGAAGTAAAAATTGGTTCTCTGAGAACCATACACGAGCCAACGTTTTAATGTCTATCACCACTTTAAGGAAAATTTGTAACCATCCCGATATTTACTCTAATGAAATAGATGAAACACTCAACCAAGTAAGAAATACTTAATTGTCTTCTAATTTGGATTTACTTCAGAATTATATTTGCTTGATTGATATCACGTTTATTTTTTTGTTTCTTAGAACATTAACAAGGCGGAAAAGGATAGCTACGGATACTATAAGAGATCAGGGAAGATGGTTGTGGTTGCGGGGTTATTGAAAATTTGGAAATCTCAAGGTCATAGAGTTCTGCTCTTTACACAAAGTCGATCTATGATTGTAATCATGGAACTATTCCTTACGCGATACAAATATGTGTACCTGAAAATGGATGGATCAACGAATGTCGCTTCTCGACAATTAATAATAGATAAATTTAATGAGGTACTGTGCATTGTTGATGCGCTGATTATACTTTTAAATAATCTTCTTTTGCTTAAATAGGATAGCAGCATTGATGTGTTCCTATTGACAACACGTGTTGGTGGCTTGGGTGTAAATTTGACTGGAGCAGACAGAGTTATAATTTACGATCCTGATTGGAATCCGGCTACGGACACGCAGGCTCGTGAAAGGGCTTGGAGGATTGGACAGGATAGGGATGTCACTATCTACAGATTGCTTTCGGCTGGCACCATTGAAGAAAAAGTATTTGCATTTAGTTCGATTCACATTCTTAAGACAAATATTCAGATATTTCAATTTTATAAAAATTTAAAAGATCAATTATTATTAAGCTATTTTAATGTAAATTTTTAAATTGCACGTGATTCAAGCTTCAATATAAATCTTTTATTCAGATCTACCAACGGCAGGTATGGAAGCAGCTGCTAAGCAACAAAATTTTGCACGATCAGAAGGCTCAAAAGTTTTTCAAAACTTCCGATTTGCACGATCTTTTCAGTTTGCAAGTGGATTTTGGCACTAACCCGGAAACTGCCAATATTTTTAAAAATTCGAGAGTAAGTCTTGATTTAAATTTTCATCGATTATATATATATTTGTTTGGAAATAGGTTGCAGTTGAAACTAAAACGAAGGAAAAACAATCAATTGAATTTTCTGACGATAAAAGAGAAAAAATGCGCGAGTTGGCTGCGAAAATAGCCAAGAACATATCTGTTCCGAAGGAGATAATGACTGTTGAGCAGGTGCAGCTTGAGAGCGAACGTAAAAAGAGGATGCTTGAGAAGCAGGAGTTGAAAACGATGAGTGCAGTTGAGCTGTTGCAACGTAATAGGGAGAAATCGAATCAGCCGGATGTGCAGGAGGCTTCGAACAAATTGGATGATCACGAGACGGAGGTCAGTTTCACAAAAGCTTTGATAATTTCCGAGAAAAGCGCTGAGCTCTACAACGAAGCCAGATCGGCGCCGGCCAAGATTGACGTGGCGGTAGAGAAATATGAGAATTTAACAAAAATTTTCGCGAAAAAATCAAAAGGTAAGAAGCCGAAAAAGTACGAAGACGTTGCGCCAGTCATGATCGATGGCCAAGTCGTCCAGAATTTAGTTAAGAAAGAAGTGCAGAGTATTAAGGTTGATAAAAGTAGCAGCCAGTCTCAAGATCAGTACGTTTTGGAGAAACTCTTTTCGAAGAACGGAGTTTGCAGCGCGTTACAACACGAGACCATCGTACAGGAGGGATGTGAGGTTCACAGCACTCTTCGTATACATTCCGAAACTCAAACTCGCACTGAGTTGGCGCTGGAGGCGCTGAGGAAGAGCCGGGAGAAGAAGAGGCGGTAAATATACTAAATGTTCTTAAATGTGATAAGTGTGATACATGTATTTAGATATAATTAATGTCCATTTATAATTAACACAACGATGATAATATTATTAGTATTGTGTGGTCTAAGTCAAACGAGAGACGCGTATTTTCTATGTGTCATCTAGGAATTCCTCGCATTTCGGATGTATGATTTTTCCGTGAATTTGATCTTTTACTATCACACCGCCCAGCTCACCAATGATCGTAGTATATTCGCTTTTTCCTGTGCTTACATTCAACTTTTTGAACAGTTTCTTTTCTGTGCCCATCGTAGTGGGTGGAACGATCTTTTGTATCCTGATAGATGCGTTTCTGTTGACAGTCACTGGGTTGCGATAAGATGATTTGTAGGTAGTGTAGGGTAGTTCTGCGTCCTTATCCAATCTCACAGCATCTGTCGCTTTGTTTTTCTGTTTTGACAGACGGCAGTAGTCGTTCTGATACGTACTTAGTGCGTGCAGTGCGAAATATTTCTTCAAGATTTCAGCGTCTAACGGTTTGCAGAAGTATCGCTTATCTGATTCGGTGTATTGTTCCTTAAACTAAAGCAAACCTTATTACATCTGGTAATTTTGTTAACGGGATATTTAACCTTCTTTTCGTAGTAATCCTTATAGTATTCCTCAGGAGGCTCTAGAGGTTTATCTTTATCTAGAATTAGATACTCGAAATACTTGACTGTGTGCGTCGGCTTCTTTCTGTCGTCGTGTTTCGGATATCTTACAGGTTTCCATTCCTTTTCGGTAAAATCTTGGGTGTATGTAGTTAAAAATTGCTTCATTGTTCACGCAGAAATTTTGAATTTACAGCCTTAAGTTCTAATTGAAAAAAAAAAAAACTTTGACGGATTCCTAACCGATTTCTATGACTACCAAATACTACTTCTATTATTACTCAATGTGTAGATTAACAAATTAATATATATATACAGGGTTGCATGAAGCGATCGCCACTATTTTGACAAATACTCTATAAAATAGTGAGCGTAAATGTTATTTACTATGAATGTTTATAAATGTCTACAACGTGTCTATTTATAGGGACGAAAGTATTTTAAGAGATATATTATTTAAGTTATTTTCGGTAAAAAAAAAGAGGGATCAAATGGACAAACGATATGTGCAAATACATCGAAAGTAAGCCAAAAAAAATAAGAACTTTTGACCAAATCGTTTGTTCGTAAATCCACCTACATATATAGTTAATAAGAAAATGAACTGAATTATATTAAAAATACGTTTTACACACGGAAATCCAGTGATTCCCACTTCACGAATGAAATGATACAAATTGCAACGTGAATTGTGTGGATTATTGTTTTTTTTCGATGTTGTAATTGTTTATAAAAGATGTCCCAAAATTATCGCCATATTTGAATTAAATAGAAAACACAGTTTTTAGTCTTCAGATTGTGTTTTTTTGGGGTTGCTGCACAAATGGCGGCAAATTCAAATCTTGCGTTAATTTTGGGACACCCTTTAGTTTCGAGTAAATAGAAACGGCCTAAACAATGTTATTCGATTCAGGACATTCTTTTGAATCGTCCTAATCTATCGAAATATAATTTACTACTTCGAATGTTTACAAAATTATATCTCAACACTTTAATTTCCATTCTTTTTAACTTAGACTATTTATCGAAATGTCGATTTTGTGCAAATGTTTGTTCATAAGTAAATGTGATCAATGTTGTTAGTTGCTGGATAATAATCTATGTTATGTGTTTATTATATTAACCGGTGTTACGCAACGCATGTTACTACATAGATGAACGTTTTGGATATTATCTGAAGTTTGGAGATAAAGTGCTTTGGATAATTTAAGTATTATATAATTCATTATTTTTTAAATATTTGAGATAGTTTTTTTTCGCGTTTGTATAATTTTCTTTGACAATATGTATTGTCGACTGTTACATAAAATTGTACCTGATATATACATGTGTAGTTTATTTTTAAAATATAATATTTTTTCTTTGTGATTTAACACTTTTTAAGTTATACCGTGATATTAAATGATCATGCAGTATAAATAAACATTTCCAAAATTTGTTATTGCTCAATATTTTTTTTAATTGCAACGAAATTTGTTTTACAATAGTTTCTATTAATCCTTATTTTAAGAATATTTAATTACATATTGTAGAGTTTTAGTATTAGTACCGTTTCGCTTGATCGAATTTTCTTATTTATTTTATATAATTTTAATAGAATTTAAAAATCTTTTTTTTATATATTTACTATATGATTAGAAATTAACAAAGAATTTTATGTACAAAAAAATAAATACAGTGAAATTTCGATCGACTTTTCAATAGCATTTTACATCTTCAGCAACTTTCTTAACTCTGCATTGATTATGTTTATGGATTATCATTTAGTTTGAAAAAATCTGGGTACTTCCATTGAGGTAAATTGTAAATCCTCGAAGGTTGTGATATTCATAATAATGTCTTACAGCAGAGTATAAATATAATGGAAGTTCTCGAAAATTTATGTTTTTTTAATTAGATATTTTAGTTAAAACTTGGGATGCTCAATAAAGTTTAAACAATATAAACAGAGTACAAAAACAATACACTAACTAATTTAAGATCTTTATAGGAACAATAACGTGTGCAAAGAGAAATGAGTAACAAAATGAAAGAATTAAAAATAAATGTATGTAACATGTGCGTGCGTTTTTCGTATTTCCAAAGAAAATAAGTGTGTTATTGAATGTTCGAAATGTTAATATTAAAAAGCTTTTTGTGAAATGCAGCAATATGTAGATGTGCTGCATCGATGTTGTTATTAATGTTGTTTGCATTGGCGAATTGGTGAACTGCATCTTTTAATGCGAGCGGTTTAGAATTACAGTATTAAATTTGGTAGCATTAATCACACGTGTAGCGCGCCTATATTTATATTGCTTCATATATATGTGTATTTTCGGGACACAAAAGTAACTATACAGACTCGTTGTCATGCAGGCACAGCCGTTGCGTTAACATGCAACTATATTCATTACATTGTTACGGGTATTTCCATATACAGACGCGTGCATCGCGCATACACATCCCACACATTTTTTTTTTGTACTCGTCCTGGCTGCTGTAGTGTGTCCTGTTTCATTGCTCCCATCTCGTGAATTTCGCAGCCGCGATAATATTTTAACCGGAGCTTTTTATTCCGCGTTATAAGCGCAACGCAGATAACAAAAGTTATCCGACCCACGGCGACATTATTATTATTATTATTACCAACGAAATTTACGCTCTTTTTGTTTATATAATTTTTTTTTAGTCGTCAGGCGAATATTATATAAATTATAACGGCCGGGTCCTATGCTTCCAGCGCAAATAACAAGGATGCAAGAAAAAAAAAACAAATACTAGGGGGGATGAAGAAGAGAGCAGAACTGGTACAACGGTCAGAATTAATAAATAATGAGCGCAGTTGGAGGGATTGCGTGTATAAATTGCAGCTCGGAAACGTCGGGGGCGGTTGTATTATTTAATTACAGTTGTAATTTTCATCAAAGAGGTTCGGGCGCTTTCCGAGTGCTAAAGCAAAAATTGCATCCCGGGGCATCCGCCATCATTTGCCGCATATTTGTTTCTCTTTATTTACGTTTTAAGTTGTTTTTTATTTTGTTGTTGTTGTTGTTGTATCTTTGCGCATTCTCTTCTTCTATTGTATTCTGATTTCGACTTCGCTCTGCGTCGAACGCAAGGCAGAGCCTTAAACGGATTCGCTTAACGAAGCGATGTTTAACTTAATTTTGAAGTCGAAAATCTGAGCACGCTCGTAATATACAAAGCCCTCTTCAGGCTAACTCGGTTATTTAGCATCTATAATGAGAGTCGCGGCGAAACCTCTTTGCTCTCGAAGGGCGGACGAATAAATAAGGACGGAACTATATATAGTTCATAAATGCCACTTCAATCGAATTATTAAACTCGATTGATCGGAACATTTTCGCATTATTCTAAACCAAAATCCAAACTTAATTTTATTTAGTTTATTATGATTTTTACATATATAATTAACTACAAATTTTGATAAGGAGGAATCATTCCAGTTTTGTTTCCAATTTTCTTGAATAATCGATATATAATTGATTCTCAATCTAATTAAAAATATTTAGCTTCTAAGCATGTTTTTTTTTATAAAAATGTAACTATCATCAGAAACAAAGGATAGTGATTGTTGGTCTTTGTCTAATTGCCTAGTTTACATACTGTCGTTTCACAGACGCTGCGCGAGTAACGAAGAGTTGAGAAATATTTTAGCACTTAAATATTAATCTTCCATCGAATGACTGTTTTCCATAGAAAAGTTTAATTATGTTATATAAATAATAAAATAATGAATAATGTTTAGGCAATTATTTCGGTTTAATACTAAATACAAATTAGTCATTAAGTATACAGTGGAACCTCGCATACCGAGCAAAATGAATTGTAAGAAAAATTACTCGCTTAACGAGCGAAGTTTTGCATAACGAGTGACGATGAGAAGAGAAGTCCCGGAAATTTTGGAATTAATTCGTTGTCGTTACGCGAGGTTCCACTGTATATTTTATGTATCATAATGTTGTGATTTTATTACAGAACAGTATTTTCCTTATAATAGTTGCGATTCTATTAAATTGAGTTTCTAGTTTGAATTGAAGTTGTCCTTTTGATCTGCATTCCATTTCACGAAGTCATAACAACTTTTTTTTTCGAGTTAAACAACTAAAAAATGATTTGGTTTAAAAGCATTTGAAATTCTTCCACGTGTCTCATTTAACAATGTAAAATATATGCATTTATTGTTGTTTCTTTTTTGAAAAAGTATTTATCGAAAATAGTTCAAATCTTTCCCAATATATCTTCATCTATGTATTTATTTAATATAATATACAATTATTGTTTTTCTGGAGAAAGTTGTTATCAAAAGTATTTTCAATAAACCTCCTTTCATTTGTCTTTTAATTATGTAATAAATATGTAATTATTGTTTCTTGGTAAAAGTAGTTGAAATATTTCATAATAAACTAAATACTAAAATATTTGGTAATACTAGAATTGGGCGTAGAATTACATTTTATATTACAGTTTGGAGTGTTTGTTTTGTAACGTGGAAGACTTACGTTTTCAATGCGATTAATAGAAAATTAAATCAAAATTTCTGAATTTTGTCTGGTTTCGACATTTTCTACACAAGGTACGATGAATGTGTGCAGCATGCGTGTGTTTTTTTTTTTGAAGCAAAACGTATCTGGTATTAGTTTTGAAGCTGTTGAGAATTGTGCTTCGAATATACCAACGGTGTAAATGTAATTGTATTTGCGTCAACAGCAGACCTCTGCATCTCCTCCATACACCCAACACCCGGTAATTGTTCAATAAATCCTTTGTAAATCATGTTATCGGAGGCGGTTCATTAAAACCGGATGTCGGATTACAATAATGCCTTAATTCGGGCTTGTTATATCATTAAGAAACACAATCATGTAGAGACGCATTCGCCAATTTCCTATACGGATTTACATTTACGATAATAATGATGATGACGATGCATCTGAAACGCTCTTCATCTTCGACGCAATAGCCTTACTTTGCTTACGTTCCAATGTGTAGATTCCAATTTCAATGTAATGTGTGTTCAGTGTACTGCAGATGTCGTAGAAATAAAATTTGCAAATGGCAAAAATTTGTTCATTTATTTCTTTTTATCCTTATCATTCCTTTTAGTAAATTGTGCTTCATAGATTAATTATATGAATTATGTTAATCCTTCTATATTTTTAAGAAAATAATTATAAAAATAAATACTTTAATGTATAAACTGTATTGATCAAATAATACTTCCTTCGTTCCAAAATAAGTGTCCGATTTTAGTTTTTTTTTAATGTATTATTGAAATAATGAAATGAATATATCAGTAGTTATATATTTAAATTAAGCATGGAAAAAGTGACTCTAGTAGCCGCCTGATGTTTCACATTTGCCAAAATAGTTTTTGTAGTGAACAGGTAAAATATTCTAACAATTGTTAATTTGGGTTTTTACCCGCTGACAATTTGTTTAAGATTAATTATTACGGTCGTAATTGCATAAACTACCCAAGAAGTCTATATTCGAACAATTACAGTGAAGTTAATTCCCGTTATAAAAAATGACCTATTGGTATTAAAACCATGCAAATCAAAATCCAGCAAGATAATGCTAAACCACATTGCGGTGTTGATGATGAAGAAGTTATTCGCGCTTCTACTGAAAATGTGTGGATGTAAGAATAGTTTGTCAATTACAAAACAACCCCGATTTCAATATCCTTGATTTGGGTTTCTTTAACGCCATTCAATCATTACAACACATATAGTCCAGTATTGATGAACTCATTGTGGAAATACAATGTTTTCATTATATTGGAGAAGTGTATGGAATTGACCATGCTTCATAAAGGAGACAACGATTCCAAGATTCTTCACATGAGCAAGAACAAACAGGGCAAGGCAGCTTTTGCAAGGAACATTGTTAGCACGACAGGAACTTGACCGTTTATAGTGACTAATTTGTTAAATGTTGTTATAGAAAATACACGTATTATATATAATACCTTTGCATATTTTTTTTTTATAAAATTGGATATTTATTTTGGAACAAATAAAATTTGT